CGAAATTTCTTTAGAAACTTGTTTTTAAACTGAAATTAAATAGGAAAAACCCAACCTATGAATTGGATTCTAATTTTTAAAGAACCCCCAAACTGAATTATAAAATCATTGTGAAAATTGGATTTGGGTCAAGGCACACTAATAGGAAACAATTAAACATGATTGAACTTAATTCGTTTTAAGAATGAGAAATACTTCCTAAGATATTGCTTTTGTGATAAAGCTAGTGGAGAAGTCAAGCATTAAGGCTTTAAGGAAAGCGGAGGCTAGGAGAACTGAAGGCTAGCCCAGGTTTGATATCCAACAGGTAGGATATTCTTGTTCATATCCTTGTTGGCCTCATTTTAAATTATTTTGGCCAATGAAAATGTTTTTGAACAAAACATGTTTAAAGTAAATGATTTTAAAAGAAATAGCATGTGAATGCTATTAGGTTTTCCAATGATTTTAGAAATGAGATTTTAAAGAGTATCATTTCTTAAAATGAATTATTTAAGGAATGATACAACGCATGGTGGCCTTAGAGATCGGGATGTGGGAATCGCATCCTTGGGGGCAGGTCCCGAAACCCGTACGGATCCGCTTCTTGTTTAGTGGAATGATGGCTCTGCACTTTTCTTAGACAGACATTTTTATCGCTTCTTGTTTAGTGGTATGATGAGCTGCACACTTTCATTATACAGATGCTTTCTATTGTGAGTATTTCCTTTTCCTAAAAAGGGATGATCGGTTCCGGATGTATATCTTCGGACCGTGAGTACCTTTATTTTAAATGCTTTATAAAATTATATCCTACTGGGCCTTTCGCTCACCTTTTTTTGTATTTTTTTTAAATGTATTAAACCCCTCCAGGCGACGCGAGGAGTGGTGCGGAATAGGTAGCTATTACCGGTGGTGTGGACTTGATCTCGGGAAGCAAAGAGTTGTAACCCTCCTATCTTTTATTTCAAGGCATGTATAATAGATTATGGTTTGTAAACTTAAATGTTGCTAGATTGTGGTTGATGTCACATTTACTTATGTTTATATTCATGTATGCTAAACACCTGTGGGAATTCCTGACATGATACCAGTGATGTGGTTTTAAAACTTGTTTGGTTGGAAATTCCACCACCGTTCTTGAAATTAAATTTCTCTTGAATGCAGGGGCTCGTTTGGAAATACCTGAATGTTTTGGATTTGAAAGGAATTAAATTATTTTGCTAATCACTCTTTCCCAAACAGGTTTAAGTTTCTAAACGAGCCTCCACGTCACTAACCCCGGTTTAGGGGCGTGACATAAAGGCGCGACACATGTCATTTGACCGATATATCTGTACACCTGGATCACCCTTGGGTTTCGGGTCAGATTCGAACACTACCTAGATCCGAAAATACTTTATAAATACCAAGCTCATTAGCTCACAAAGGTACATACATTTTTTCATGCCTAACTATACTCACTCATTTGTTGCTCGTGATCAGAACACTGACTTGAGCGTCAGAGTGCCATTGGCAGACACCATGCTGGTGTCCCCTTCACTCCGAGAACATCTCCTCTTTTGATGCAGGTCAGAACAGTGCTAGGGATTCGTTCTGAACAGTGCTAGGGATTCGTTATGAACAATGCTAAGGATCCGTCCCGAGCAATGCTAGGACTAAGCAGAATAGGGATCCGTTCCAAACAGTGCTAGATCCCGAGCAGAGCAGTTCAAGGGATCCGTCCCGAGCAATGATAGGATCCGAGCAGAACAATGTTAGGGATCCGTTCCAAACAGTGCTATGGATCCGACCAGAAGAGACAGACAACAGAGTTCAGTTACCGTACGCTATCGGACGCGGTATTGTGCCGGATTTCGGCATCAAAAGGAAGTAATGGATGGATATAGTAAATTTGAAAAACCACTAGAACAAAAAAAAAAAAAAATTCAAAAAACGACAACAACATAAAACCACAACAAATTTAAAAACGACAACACATGAAAAATCTCAACAACCTCAAACAAGATTCTAAAGAACCGTGTTACCATTAAATTTAAAAACAAAGCAACATATAAAACGACAACAATCTGAAAACACAATTAAAAACGACATCAACCTAGAAACAACAAATGTTTTTATGAAACGACATGAATCTAAAACGTAAAAGACGGCAGCAAATTACTTAAACCTAGAAAACGACAGAAACGTGAAAGTTAATAATCACATGAACGACATTAACTCGAGAAACGACAACATCTTCAGAAACAAATTTACCAAAACACCCTCACACACTGACACCTCACCGCGAAGCAAATGCCAGATGTCGTGTCATGCAACAACCAACTAGGACTGACATAGTTACGTGTCAAAAGGATTTTCTCTCACAAGGCGTTAACACTAATTCGTAAGACAAGCCAATCAGCTCACGCCACTTGTTTTCCTTGGTTCGGTTTTACGGACAAACCGGAAATTAATTCCTACATGGCGTGTTTTCATTAGTCCACGTTTAAATCTTCACTACTTTCCCGTCAGTTTATCACTCTTCACCTCACAGTAAACACTTTCCCATCTCGCCATTTCCGCCTCCGAGAAACAAAACCTAATATACAGATTATTATTATTTATTATAGATTATCATTTATCATTATTATTATCAAATTCCAACCAAGTATTTGGCAACTAAGAAAATCAGTTTCCCAGGCTTTGACGTTGTATTTTTTTCGTTTTGTTTAATTGCTCTGTTTCTTTTCTTTTTTTTTTTTTTCGCTTTATTTGTTTTGGAACGTCAAAGCCGAACAGTTCTGAAGGTACGGCCTCTGAATCTGAGTCTCTCAAATCCCTAGTGTTTTTTTTTTTTTTTTTAACGATTATATTCGATTAGATCTTCCTTTTTGGTTCCAATTGGCAGTAATCTGATGAGATTTGATGTATTGACGATGAAAAGGAATAAAAAAGTTGCAATCTTTTAGGTTTATTTTTTCTTTTGCTGTGATTTTTTTTTAGAGAGAGAAAGCTGGAAATCGTAGTTTGGTTCGAATGATTATTTGATTATAATACTTGATTTATGATTTAAATATTTTTTTTTTGTCGAAGGTCTTCACTTTTTTGGCGGCAAAGAAGCTGGACGTTAGGGTTTTTGAGTTCTGTTCGTTCTTATATATAATAAATTTAAGGTTTTTTTTTTCCATTTTGTAGTAAATAGCTTATTATTATTATTTTAAAGAAATGTGATATTACTGATTTCTATACTTTGTGCTAGGGTAGTACACTACGGTAGTGCACAAGTCTGAACATTTAAAATTTTCAAAAATGCTAAAATACTAAACGTTCCGACTCGGAATGCATAGGGGTACTGATAAATTTCATTTATAGAAGAAATTTTAATGATTCTAATGTGATTTGACCGTCTGAAACCTCTATTTACCGATAAAGTATAGGCCGGTTTGGTTCATAGTTTTGAACAAAAAAATTTGAACAAAAATTTTAATTTTAAGAAAGAAAATACTATAACAAAAAGGTTTGAACAGTAGTTCGAACTTATGAAACAAATGAGTCATATATGTTGTATATTTCATAAGGAATTTCAAGTTTTTATATTGTTTTATATTTTAATACCAGATTTTGATTTATTTATCGCTTTGGTCTTTTTTTTTTTTCTTTTGTTGGATGCCTGGAAAGTTGCTTATTGGCTTATAGTTTTACATTTCAGTAACATGACTTGCCTCTTCAGTGGTTTAAAGATGCTAAGACAAATATTCATGTTATTACTTCTATATGCCTACATACCAAAAGGGTTTGTGTTTCATACCCTATCACAGAATTCTCTTAAGTTACATGTGAAATTTCATGTTTGTTTCACGTTCTAATACCTGGGTCTGATTTATTTATTGCTTTGGTCTTTTTTATTTTCTTTTGTTTAGGGTTTGAATGCCCGGAAATTTGCTTATTGAATTATAGCTTTACCTTCAAGTAACATGCCTTGTCTCTTTAGTGGTTCAAAGATGCTAAGCCATTTATTCATGTTACTTCAATTTGTTTAAAATTTTCTATTTCCAAAATTGACTTGATTAAACTGGTTTTTCAAATCTGTGGGGTCTTTTGATGTTATAGTAAATTGGCAACTTTTTATTTTATTTTCTTTTCCTTTTCTATGATTGGTCAGCTTAAGCCATAGGAGGTAATCTTTTTCCATGGTTATAAGGCTTCCCAACTTTAATAAAGGCGGGGTTTGATCCCAAGTCCGTGGACTCTATCCCGAGTCCATCCCGAATGTCTTTACAACTTGACTAAATTAAACCTTCTATTGCAGTCATAGTTTAAATTATTAATTTCTAAAGGTGTTGATGTACTTCGACATTTGGCTCAGTATAAAATTTGTTCTCTGTCTTTCTCTCTAGTTTTCCTTCCAATTCTCAATGATGCTCAGGTGAGAGGGGGTTTTTTTTTTTTTTTTTTCCTCCCCTCGTTGATTTTACGACAAGAAAAGAGGAAAAGTATGTTTGTTTTTTGTGTAAGTTTACCCTATTTAGTTTAGGAATTAGCAGGCTCTGCCACAAATCTCAAATATGTATCTGGTCCTCATTTTCTATTTTATGTTTTTATGATACTCTAGACTACTTAAGTATTTGTTCATTTCCTAGTTTAGATTGAGAAACAAATGTCCTCTTTCCCCCTGTAATGCTGATTTCTAAATATTGCTTCATATGATACGAATATTTAAGCTGTTTGTGTCTTTCTCATTGCTTTTTGAACTCCAACTTCACTGAACTTTGCTTGAAAGGTATCCAGTAGGGGCTTTTTGCACGCTGTAGAGAAACGCTTACACTGAGTGCTTCCAAAGGATTACTTTTTGAATTCTTGTTGGATATTAGTTAATTAGAATTCCTCTCTTGCCACAGGTAGGGAAGACCATAAAAATCTTGTGGAGAAAGTGACAAAGTTGACAAAGAATATTGAAGATGAACCAATCCACTCAAGGGAACAACCCTGATGCTTCATCAAACATCCCGGAAAAGCGCAAACGTGGCCGTCCGCGCAAGTACCCCAAGATAAATATTGAAGATAATGCGCGTATTCCAAAGATTCAAAGAATAGAAAATGTTGGTGGTCCACCAGGATTTGGAGGGGTGAATGGAAACCAGCCCGGTCCGGCGGCTGTAAGTGTTGATGCCACTAATTCCATGGTGGGTAAGACTGTCTCTGGCGTAATTGAGGCAGTGTTTGATGCTGGATATTTGCTCTGTGTTAGGGTTGCCAACTCTGATATCACTTTAAGGGGTGTTGTCTTCAGGCCTGGACGATTCATACCCGTTTCACCGGAGAATGATGTGGCCCCAAATCTGCAAATGATCAGAAGAACTGAAATTCCGCTGCCACCTGAACACCACAATCCTCGTCCCAGAGAAAGGAAGGAGCAACAAGCATATTCTCATAGAGACGGGGCTCATTCATTCAGTGAATCACCAGTAGCCAATCAGGTGCCTAGAGTTGCATCCTACCAGGCTAATAATGTGGCGCCCAAAGGAAAACTGGTTCCTTCAGTGGCGGTCCAGACGGCTCATCCCAATCCAGTAGTTCCGAGAGGTAATTTGGTGCCTGTTGTGCTTGAACCTGCTAAGGTATCAAATGGGTTGCCACATGCCAGTGAACCAATTCCTCTTGCAACCCAAGCTCCTCCTCATGTGGCTGCCTCAAAGGTCAAACAGGTTCAGGAAACTGCTAACCCGTCAAACGGACTGAACCCGAATACTCAAGTACCAACATTTGGAAGCGAAGCAGTTCTTTCTCAGCTTCAGGCCAACCACCAGGTGGTATCTGAAATCACACAAAACGAAAACGGTCCTTGCAATCAGCCCTCAACAGAGACGCTGCTTGCTGCGGAAGCCAAATCAATGAAATTGCCTGACATGCCTATTGAAAAACTGGTAACTGAGGTGGTGAAAAGAGTTGATGTCCCCTCGGAGTTGGCCGAAACTCAATTTGAGCTGGGCGGTAAGACATCAGTGAAGGACAAAAAGGGAACTAACAATGCAGATCAGGCACTCGCCATTGAGCCCCTGCAAGCTGTGCAGTTTGATGAAAATAACAGCCCCGCTTCTGCTCCCAAATCCATTGAAAATGACAAAACTAGCAAAATGTCTCAGCTGTTGGAGGTAAAATAAGGCTTCTTTTGTATCACTGTAACCATAAATATATTCGTATATACTTGCAAGGTTTTTGAAGGGAAAAAAAAAAAAAAGAAACTGACTGATGCCCAACATCGTAAACAAGGTTCTGCAGGGAAACATGGCAGAGCCAGCCAAGGATTCAACACAGAAGTTGGATGAAACAGTGAGCATGGTAACTGATCAGGAAGATAAATAAATCAGTAATCTAGAGATCTAGTCTCTGACTTTCATGAATTCCATCTTAAAGTACCAAACATTAAGACTTGGACCATTTGTTGTAGAAGAATTGTGATTTAAATTATACAGTGCGGTGGAGAATCTTTGTAGTTTTGCAATCTCTAATGTGGAAAGATTGCCGAGGATCCACTTGCAGGGAAAAGGAGCAAGTCTGTAGTTTCATTCTCAATTGGAACTTTGTTTCTTTTTGGATGCTAATGAGGCAGAGTTATCTCTTTTATTATTATATATATTGTTGTTGTAATTATTATTATTAACTTTGTGATCATTGTCGAAAGTTATATTAAAGTTTGAATTTCAGGCTTATAAGTAATTTGTTAGTATGCACCAGGCCAGGCTCATTGTGTTCCTTTTTTTAGAACGACGAGTGTGTATGCACCTCTGATGCAGGCCATGTTGCGAAACAAATGATGTGGGGCAATAGGAAACAATTAAAAGTCAAATTTCATTATTAGAAGATTTAATGTTGATTTATTATGCAACTTAATTTAATATGCAAGTCGATTAGCGGAATAAAATAAAGGTCGAGTTCTTACACATAAAGTAGTGTGTTGACTCTTAGGGCCTGTTTGATATTGTTTTCAAAATGATTTTATTTTTAGTACAAAAGTAAAAATGAGATTGTTTTGAAAATTATTTTAAGATTCTAAAATTACGTTTAGTTGGTCTTTTAAGAGATTGTTTTGAGTATAGTAAAAAAATAAAATTGTGTTTGGTTATATTTATGAAATTTTATTTTGAGTACATGTAATTAATAATGTTAAATTAATATATGAAGTAAGTAATAATTGATAATCACTTAACAAATAAAAATTAATATATTAACAATACAATAATAATGGATATATTATAATTAATGAGTACAATATATATTATAATTAATGAGTATATTGGTAATTAAACTATATATATAATGAATTAGTATGTTAAATAATTAAAAAATATTAATTAATAATTAAGTATAAGTAATTACTATGTTAGTAACGTAACATACTCATATTTATTAGTTTATAAGTAATTAATAAGTGTATTAAGAAAAAATAATTAGTATATAAATAATATATTAATATTCTATTTACTAATTAAATAATTAACTTTTAGTTACATAATTAAATAATTAGTTAATTAGTTACTAACATTTATTTAATAATCTATTATTTGACATATTGCATGATTAATTTATTGATAATTGTTCTTTAAATAATGATGAATTGCTAATTATCAATTATTCATTATTATTAAGTAGTATATGACAATTATTGTATAATTTAATATTGATTATTAATTGAGTAATTAATATTTCTTTATTTATCAACTATTTACTAATTAATAGATTATATTTAATAAATATGATTGATATATTAATTATTAGTTATTTATTTAATAACCTATTATATAATCAATTTTTGGCAATTAATCTTTAACTAAATAATTAATTAATATTTATTATTTATCATTTTTATTAATCAAATGACAAATTTAATAATAATAATTTAACATTAATTAATAATTAAGTAATTACAATCTAATTATTTGTTATAGTCATATCTATTTATTAATTAACAATTAATATATTATGTAATTAGTAATTAATAATTAAATAATTTAATGTAACATTGTTGGTAAGTACTAGAAAATGAAAACGAAAAAGAGAAAAATAACTTTTAATCATTTTCTAACTTCCTTCACGAAAACTATTTTTATTGTTTTTTCTTTTCGTTTTCATTTTCAAAACATTTGTTAAACAAACGCGGTTTATAGACCGTTTTTATTTTCGTGCCTCAAAATACGTGCGAAAACGTTTTCAAAAACAACTAAAAAACAGTTCCAAACGCACCCTTAATTTTTCGATTCTCTTAAGTATTCTTTTATTGCATGGCAGAACTAAAGTTAGCTCAGTTGGTCCATTTATATTGGTAGGAACCCCAACCTTTCTCCTGTTGGTTTTGAAAATGAAAAATTTGTTCATCTTTATATCATATGCTTTCCGGCCATCAATTTCAACATTCGCTCCATTGATTGAATCCCATCTTCCACCTCAGTCCATCCTCCACATAACTCACATCAAACTTAGCCCAAAATTACTTTCTTCCTTCTCTTCATTTTCATTCTTACTATTACACTATGTTTAAGAATATCTTTTCTAAGAGAACAAATACAAACGAAACTGACGCCTTGACCACCACACTCGCACAGTAAGGGACGTTATATGGAAGAGTCCAAATTTTTTGGATTGTACATAACATTACTTTCACACTGAAATGGTGCAACTTTCACTTGAAACAGTAAATTCATCTCCAACTCATTACACCATTTTTAACACTAAAAAAAAAAAAAAAAAAAAAAAAAAAAAAAAAAAAAAAAACCCATGTATAATTTCCCTTTTGCAAATTTAAAAAAGCAAAAGAAGAAAATTTTAAAAAAATAATAAAAGAGGACACCAAATTCGGTGTTGAGTGAACGGGTGGAAACGAATATTTGTGTTTCCACTGTTCACCTCATACCATTCACACCAAAATGGTGTGTTGGAAATGGATTAATTATAAAAGTTTCTCTTACCTCCTCAATTTTAAAACGTAGCATCGGAATATATTTAGTTAACAAAAATTATCCTTCTGTTAGTTTGAATAACGGAAGTTACACATGTCACGCATCAAGGTGGAGTAATTGATGTATTAAATGTGAAATTACTAATTTACCACCCATTCTTAATTTACATATAATATTATAAAAAAAAAGTAAATTTCTCACTCTATTTTATAGAAATAAAGCAAAGAAAAAAGAAAACTTATTTTCAAGCTACATTTTTTATGTAGCTTATCTCCTGATATTGAAGTCGAGTAATCCAATCCGGTTAGTGCCGTAGGCCTAGTCGCTGGAGTTGGATCCATTAACATTACATATGATGGGCAAGTTCTTGTTGCACGCGTAAACAAAGGCCATTGAAGACCCTTTGGCCGCCAACAACCAAGGCGACGAAGCACGAGCCCATGCCTTTGTAAAGCGCAGAGCCATCAGCGGAGTAGACGGCGTTGAGCTCGCTGCAAAAGCCGACAAGATCAAGCTTCAGCTCGACGATCAAGTTGTGGAGGAGCATTGAATTGAAGCCGGCGGGTCCCTCACTCCATGACCCGCCGTCCCAGGTGACGCCCCAAAGTGCTGCTTGACGATGCCAAGTGGGCTCACAGCGTTGAGGAGTGGGAGTAAGCAAGCGATTTCGGTGGTTAGGGAGGGTGGTAGGAGGTTGAGGCATCAGGATGTGGAGCGTTTGGGATTTGGGAAGAAGACCATGTTGGGAATCGTGCATGAGATGTAATAAAAGATATTATTATATTAAATATTTTATGAATATCATTCAAATTGTGCGATTATTTATGTAACTTTAAATATTGTATATAATAGTTATATACAAGAGGATAATATTTAAGGATAATAACCGAAATGTATTCGTAATGAATTTAATTAAAGTTTCAGAATCTTTAATCAAAATATTATTAATACACGTCATTCCCATTAAGAATGAAACGATGTTATCCGCACTGTTAATATTGATGGATATTGGATGAGTGTATTATACATAATGTGATTATGTGGAACTGGAACAACAACACGATTTGAATTTCTGATAATTCGTTAAGTATAGAAACTTGAATTGAGTCTACCGATGGTCATATATAGAACAATTTTAATTTTGAGGTATTAGCAAACTACTATTTATAGATTTGTGTTTTTTGACTTACTCAGTACGGATTTTGAGACTGCTAAATCCTATTCCTTGTATCTTGGAGACACAGTGAAGTGGGTAGTCGGGAATGCTAATATACGAGATGGAATCAATTCCTTCTTGTATAAAGAAGTAGATAAATAATTCTCTTGAGGATTTATTCGGTACTTAGATTAGTAGGGGCTCTAATGCATGAATTAATTTTATGAATCGCTATCCATTAGAGAATCAATGGTACTCAAGGATAAAGATGTAATTAGAGAGGTTAACGGATTTTACCTAACTCTAATTATGAATTATTTATGGAGAATCGATCTATATGTAGTGATTATATCAAATGGACACTTCAAGTTCTTAAAAGTAAATTATGTCTATAATTTCAAAAGTGCAATTTCAAGTTTTTAGTGGAGTAACTATTGAAATTAATCGAATTAATTAATTAATTAAAAGGATTTAATTAATTATTAATTTTATTGGAGCTCAAAATTATAGATCCATGAGTCCCCGCGTCATCCTTATAATATTTGCAAGACAAGGTGAATTATTGGGAATTAATATCAATCAAAATAAATAATGTGATTATTTAATTTAGTTAATTTTGGAACACACTATGGTGAGACCACAGGAGGCCACACACCCAGCATAGGGAGGTGAGGGGGGTGTGTAGCACAAGGAGAATCCCACTGGAATTTAGTTGCTTTCTCTCCAAGGAATCTGGTTTACTTGTTTGCAAGTTTTCTAATTAAATTCAAAAAGGCATTAAAGTTTGAATTTATTTAAATTTGAATTTGAGTCAAAATTTAAATCTAGATAAAAGGGGAAATTTATCTCCTTTTCCTGCCTGATATTTGCACCAACCACAGAGAGATATCCCCGTGGTGTAGCCGGCCATAGTAGAAAAGAAGGGGATAGAATTTTGTTTCCAAAATTAAATAGGAAACTATATTTTTAAATGAGATTTAAAATAAAGTGGTAACCAATTATCTATTACTTTGCCTTTAAGAAAAAGCGAAAGGGTCATTCTAGTATTCTATAAATAGGAGACATCAGAAAATTGGAGAACATAATTTTTTCTCCCTTCCTCTATGAGATAAGCGTGTAACATAACTGCTATAGGTGTGTAACCTTCTGTTTGACAGCATGTAACATTCTAGTGATAGTTGTGTAACCTGAGAGAAAAAGAGAAGAAAAGCTCAGTTCCACCTCATACATGTGTTGATATTGGTAGAAGAGAATATTAGTGACTGATTAATCCTATAATTCTAAATTAGAGCCCACACTCTAAGTCTTGCAGGTATCAAGGACTGGAAGAGAAAGATTCGGGTTTTTCTAGAAAGCTTGGAACGAGGATTGTTTGTGGTCAAAGAACTCAAGTTATCGACCTAATCGTTCGCTAGGTAAATAAATTAATTAGATTAATTTATTCGTGTATAAATTAATATATTTTATAGAGTATTGTAAACGTTTTATAAAAATTTTTGTTATACATGATCTGTAAATACACGCTTCTGCATCTGAAATCGTTTCGAAAACTAACAAATCACACCTTATTTTATTGTTCATGTACTTCATAATTTTGCATGAATGATACTTGTAACTTCTGTTGTTAGTTACAAAATAATATTTTTTATAAACATATAAATCGGAAGATGTGATGTTTATGTTCTAAAATTTGAAAGGCAACGTGTTACACGGTTATTGTTTTAGTTAGAATTTTTTTAACACTTGGTTGAAAAATTTCTATCGAGATTAATTCTCTCTTTTCCCCCCCAAAAGAACCATCCGGACCAAGAGAACCATCCAGACTAATATTTAAACGTGAGGGCATGATAGTTAAAGAAGTGTGCCTTTTGCTTTTGTATCTTTCTAGTGCCTTGTTTACTAGGGTTATTTTGAAAATAAGGAATAAAAAAGGTACAAATAGGAAGGACTTGTTGCATTCGTTTAGTCTAACATATTAATATTGGGTTCTTCCGATAATCCTTTCACTCTCATCTCCCATTTCACTCTTCCAAAACAATCTCTTAATTGGGAAGGTGACTAGATGAGAGAGGAAGAGAATAATTAATAGTGTGTTTGGTGGGAGGAAGAAAATAAAAGGGAGAGTCAATTCATTATTTATGTTAAAATTAATGTGCATTCGAAAGGAGATACACGGGCAATATGCCATGAATTTTAAAGTTAGATTGATGTTTATTAAGGATCCGTTTAGTTCGCTGATTTAAATTTTTAATTCGAATTAAGATGTGATTTTATGTGAGAACTTTTTATTATAACAAAAAAGTTAAATGTGTCTGTTTCTAAGAGCTTTTTACTATAATAAAATTCAAATTTTAAACTCAAATCGGTGAAATGAACGTGACTTAAGTCTTAAAACTATTACAAAATATACCATAATTTAAAATTTTTTACAATGACTAAAATACCCATACAGTAAAGTTGTAACTTGCCGGAACCGTAGCTTCGCAGAGCATAACAATCCGGCTGAACCAGATCCGCCATACTCCGCAGAGAACAGCCTCGACGATGGCAAAGCCCGAGGAAGGAAGACTCGTCTTGACGGTGGCGATCTGCAACTTCCGACGCGGCCTACAGAACAAGAAAAATGGAGCTAGCGTTCTCTTAACGGCGGCGTTCATGCCCAGTCCCACGATGCTGACCCATTTCCGTCGCCCTTCATGCCTGAACTCGTTCAGTTCTAGAGTGAGCTCGACTTTGGCGTTGCCGGTGGTGAAGAACCTCGGCATGGAGGGCGCTTGCTTCATGCTCGATGTGCCTCTGCCCCATTTGGGCTTTTTTGATGAAAAACAAAAGGCATATCTATGTTTGGTGGATTTTATGTATTTTTATGTGATTTTTCTTTTTACCAGATCTGTGTATTGTGTTTTTGTGATTTTTCTGACATTTTAGATGCTCCGGCGACGGGCGCAGTCATGATATTGCAGGTATTGGCGGTTATCAGCCAGTATTTTTAGTAAATATCGGTTGGTATCATGGCCGGATACTAATATTATGGTGGATACCGGTAGGTATTCTGACGACTGCTACCTCTAATAGGGCAATTATCCGCCGTATACTATCAAGTGGATACCAATTTTGTTGCCGGATACCGACAGGTATCTCAATCGGATACTAGTATCACAACTGGGACCTACTAATATCTTAATGGTATATTTAATATTACATATATAAATTGATGACTAGGGATGAGTATCGGAAAAAAGGGGGTCGGATATGCTTCCCCATCCCTGCCCCTGCTTTCACTTTTGCCTCCCATACTTGCTCCATACCCACCTTATTCGGGGACGGGAAATCTCCGTCAAGAAAGCTTCCTCTATACCTTACCCCTTAATTATAAGAAATAAAATATTACAATATTATTCACATTTAAATAAATTTATTAAATAAATATAAAATTCAACATAATATTAATATCCCATTAATATCCCATGAAAACAAACTAAGATTTCAAAAAAAAAAAAAAAAAAAAACCTTTAAAAGCAACTTTTCAAATCAAAATCATATGAAACCAAATACTAAAAACTTAATTCAAGGCTTAAATAATAAATTAAAGTCTTCAAAATAAAAGGCAAAGGCAATTGCGCGTAGCTTAGGATTTAGGTCAGCAAGTAACTATTTATAATAATAATTCAGAAACAATTAGGATTTTTTTTAAGAGGCTAACATAGTGAAATAATTTTAAAGTCTTTTAATTCCATTTGAAATTAAGCATAATATATATATATATATATATTTGTATGAAAAACAATTTTAAAATATTTGTATATATATCGGGGCGGGAGTTGGATAGGAGTGCTTCCCCGCACCCGCAGACAATATAAACCTCCATACCATCATTTAATAATCCTCATACCTGCTTTATTCGGGATGGGCACTAACACCCGCAAGTAAAAAACTCATCCTTATTTTGATGACATAGCTGTAGCATTTTTTTTATGTCAATCCAAACCTAAAAACAGTCTTGTAAAAAGCCCATTCGAATCCAAGCCCACCAACATCCTTGAAATTCATGCAATCCATCAAAATTAAAGTTTGAAAAAGACTGTTATCCTAAAAAATTAATATAAAATAGTCTTAAAAAAAAAACAATATGGTAGTTGAACAAATAATTGTTGAGCCATTCAACTCTCCTTTCCTCTCCTAGTATCAATATCCATCCTTCCACTACAAACGGAGCAGAAGTGTAATTCTTTAATTGGTAGGAGAATAGAATAGGTGGATTGTGTCCTTGAAAAGGTTCCCATAAGAACTCATAGCAAATAAAGCACTACTATTAGACAGCAGCAGCAATCCATACACGATCAGCATAATATAGCATATTCAAAATCATATGAAAAAAAAAACCCCCAAAAAGAAAACACCAATTAAAAGCGCAGTGTCTAGTACCTCACCACACTGTCTAGTACCTCACCACACGGTAAGAGAGGTCACATGCACATGTTTGCGGAGGAAAATGAGAGAGAGAGAGAGAGAGAGAGAGAGAGCTGAACTAAATAAGAATCTATCTCTAGAACAACTGAGCAGAAAAACCGCAGACCATCACGAGCCAGCCACAAAGTAAGGCTGCCTAACTAAGATGCTTCAGACATAATTCTCAAGCTTTTTACCACCCTTCGGAAACCACGACAGAAATCACTGCAAAGAAAGCAGTTCAACAATAAGTACTTCTGAACCCATAAAAGAAATAATGAAAGATCTACTTCTAACAACAAGTATACTTTTAATTCAGATGAAAGATCGAAATCTTGCAACAAGTTTACTTAGGTGAAAAATAATGAAAGACTGATTTCTACCAAACAGCAATAATAATTAACGATGAGAGAATTTAGCAGTAGGGTGGAAAGAATCCTATCATTATTGCACACTTCAGAATCATATCATACCAATAAAAAAATGCAAATGTAATAGAAATTGATGAGAACCTGGTGGTTCAGAATTTCATAGTTGCCGGTAGGATATTCTTTTGAACACTCCCAAACCCCGGAAAGAAAAGCTAATGAAATCGAGGAAAATAAGCAGAAGTTATACCTGCTGTGGCTGTTGGTAAGCCCCAGGTTGCTGATAATTTCCATATCCAGGGTAGCCTCCATAATACATGTTAGGGTCTTGGCTAGGAGGAGCATATGAGTACGCATCATATCCTTGTGGGTATCCGTAATAGCCACCACCATTCCACTGTGCTTGTTCTTGTTGATTCTGAACCACGCAACACACACATCTCTTAGTCTCATAATGCCAGAGGAAAGTCAGAGTAGAAAAAAGAGGCGTTTATGCAAGTAAATACCTGTTTGTTTGTAGGACTACGGCCCCACGAAAGTCGAATACTCTGTCCTCCCAACTGAGTTCCATTCAACGTTGATAATGCATGCTCCGCGTTAGCTCTAAAGTACCATAGTAGACACATAAACACATAAGATGAGTTATTGTGATCAAGAAGGCGGGTAATGCAAAAAGAAATATAATGAATAACCAATAGATACCTATTAACAAATTGAACAAAACCACAACGCTTGCCTACTGGTATTTTCACATGTACTAGCTCGCCAAATTGGCTAAACACTTGTCTTAACATGTCGTCATTAATATTAGAATCTAAACCTCCAACAAATATCTGCATTCAGAAATGTATGAAGTCACTAATATACAAACAGAAAGATACATTGTAAGCATCAGAAAAGACTACGTACTGTTGTATTATTTGGATCATTCTCGCCCTGATTTCCTTGAGTATTTGTGTAGGTAGCTGCAAATTATAAAATACATGAGAACTAGCTTATAGAGTAAAATCAGGCTACAAAAAACAAAATTTGGAGAGCTGCAACTTTGAAGTTTGAGCTTCCTCTATCATCTGTCCATTCAATCAGTTTGACATAGACCAATTTCCCATAACAACAACAAGCATCGGACAATGACAAAATAAAATACAGAACCACACATGGAAAAAGGAGAGAAGCAATCACCCTTGAAAGACTTACACAAACTGATTCTAGAAACCATACAGAGCAATACATGCACCAAGTCAATCAGTGCTACATAAAGAGCAAATTGAAGCAAATAAGAAGTCTAAACAAAACCAATGTAAATTGATCTTTCAAAATCTATTCTACAGCAGCCAATGAGATTTTGTATTGAATGGTTCATATAAATTTTATCAAATGTTGTAATTAAAATTTAAAGGTCCAAACACCAGAGAAAGAATATTGAGGAATGGAAACTCCACCAAAAGAAACCCAATCACAAACGAGTCACACTTTAGGGAGGAACATCTAATATGTCGAGAAAACTTAGGGAACTGATCCCTGATTAAGAAAAAACAGTCCTTCAGGACTAACATAAGTCACAAGGTAAAAGAAGACTTTATATACTTGGGGAAAATGAAACTAATTAAACTTGACCGGTAACTCCTCAAATAAAAGGACTAGAAAAGTAATTCTTGAAGGTAGCATAATAAATGCCACGAGTAAATTAAGTAAGAAGCTTAGGACATAAACAAAATAACTGACCTAAAATGAGGCCACGCATTTAAGTGGATTCATTTCATCTGAAATCAGTTCCAGGCCCCCCAAAATGAGAGCCTCTTGGTGTCCTGCTTTAAGACAACATGAGTTTTATATAAGTGTTCATTGTTTTAAGTTTTAAGAGAACTAAGTGCGCCCAAGTTTACAATGGTAAATAGTGGAAGGAAATGGGTCTAACTCCACCAATCTTCAGACGAAGTAAGAACTGAAAGGATGTAAGACTTCAAAATAACTTGCAATAATTTTAACTAAAAGGATATAAACTAGCAACCATATATCATACCCCCTCAAACATACTCATAAGGAATAAAAGAATATATAACATGGACTCAAAAAATATACCAGAAGTTAACAAAAACAAATCATCAAAATTCACCTCAACAAAGTTTAAGCAGCTATCACAAAAGGTGTTGGCAAAAAAACAAAAAATAAGAAATAAAAATAAATAAAAATAAAATCATAGCACAAACAATACCTTTCTGGTATTGCTGCCCACCAACAGGTTTCTTGTTAGCAGCTGGCCCAACTCGCATGGGCCTTGTTGAGCAGTACTGACCATTCATCTCATTCATAGCACGCAGTTGTTCACTTTCATCGCCAAACCTGACAAACCCATATCCTTTAGAGCGTCCAGTGGTCCTATCAGTAACAACTTTTGCACCCTTCACAGATGAGTATACTGCCCTAAATGTCTCTTGCAGGGTGAAATCAGTGACATCAGCAGACAAATCCCCAACAAAAATTGTATGCTCGGGACCGTCCTCTTGACGCCTCTCTCCAGCACCAAGAGTGGCCCAGTTAAGCCGGAAGTTCTGATCAGTGTTTGGCATTAACGCGCCATTATAAGTCTGCAAAGCCCTCTCAGCCGCAGCACGAGAAGCAAACTCAATAAAGCCATATCCTTCTGGCAAACCAGTTTGCTTATTGCGAATAACTTTAGCCGTAAGAGCCTGTTGACAATCAGACACAATCCCCAAAAAAGGATGAACATTTAAGTTTCAACCAGCCAAAAATCATAAACACTTTTATCACATACAAAACCAACTACTCAACTGGGGAAAAAAAGAAAAAGAAAAAGAAAAAAGAAAAAGAAAAAAGAAAAAAGAAAAAAGAAGAAAGAAGACACCTAGCAATATTGCAAAAACCTTTTACACCTAATAAGTATGATTTTGATCATCTAAAACACAAGAACTTTGCAAAGATATCGCCAGGATACTAACTCCTCCTCGCTTAACTAAAAATCAGTAAAATTGCAAAATCAAACAAAAAAAATCATAAAAGATAACATTGTATTTATAAGATAAACTTAAAAAGCAACACAATGTCATCCAAACAGAACTGCTTTCCGAAAATTTACTCAATAACCAATAAAATCAGTTCCTCCATTATTTTACCAACATCCTAACAGAATTCCTGTCGTGAAAATTTTCACCGCATCTAAATAAAATCACTTTCTCGAATATTTTCTCAACATCCAAGTAGAATCTTTAACAAATTCAATACTCAATTCATTATTTATCCAAACACCTCGAAAGAAAAAAAAAGTACTAAAACCCAAACAGTGCGGTTGTTCACAATTTTACCTCTCCGGTGTGAGCGAAGCAGCTGATGAGGTAGTTCTCCTCCATCCACTGCTGGAGGTCCCCGATCCAGAGCGATCGGATCTCGTCCGATCCGGAACCGGGCGCGGCGCCAGCGCCTCCGCCGCCGTAGGGCTGGGCCTGAGGCGGCGCGCCCTGCGGGGCCCACGCGGCGGGAGGAGGCGGGCCCTGCTGAGACGGAACCTGCTGCGGAGGCATCATCCACTGCTGCTGCGGGGGCGGCTGCTGGTACTGCGGCTGCTCCGACGACGGAATCATCCCTGGCTGCTGCATCATTCTCGATCCGAAAACCTTCGAAACTTAGCGAGAAACTGGGGAAAAGTAAGAAAAGGAAGAACTTTTCGGGAATAGGTTGATCGGAGATGGAAAATCGCGGCGGCGGCGGAGGATAAGATCGGAAAGGAGAGAGAAAGCAGAGAGAGAGCGAGAGATAGGGTTGAAAACTCCTAATCCCAGAAACGGTCTGAGAGAGGAGAGAGAAAGGAAAGGGGATATTTTTAGGGGAGTAGAAGAGGTTTATATAGCGGTTTGGTTGCGTTGTGAGGTTTGTTTTTGAGTGACACGTGGGGTTATTGCATAGGGCAGGTTCGATTGGGTGACGGAGTCGGTGACCACTAACTGGGTCTTGAGTCAGCTTTGTGGATTGGGCTGGGTTCTGCTTCTGTGTGGACAGTGGGCTTTATGTCTGGAGATTTGGGCTCGTAACAATGTCCCCTTAGATAGAACTATTGGGAGATTGCGGGAAATAGCCGAGAAGGCCACGGTTTAAGATAAGTTAATAAATAGGTAAATCTGATATAAACACAACTAGTTGAAAGTCCAAAAATACTAGTTAATAAATAGGTAAATCTGATATAAACACAACAAGTTGAAATTCTAAAAATACTCTCTTAGTAAATCTTAAATTTATCGTGTATATTCAGAATTTATGATTATAGTTTATACAATTTTTAAAAAAGTGATGCTGACTTGATATATCATGAATTCACTAAATATATCAAGGATTTATCATTAGAATTTATAACGTCTTTTTCAAGTGATTTTAACTTATTAAATCTTAAATTTACCATGTATATCCAGGATTTACCATTAGAGTTTGTACTGTTATTGAAAAAGTGATGCCAATTTGGTAAATCCTGAATTTATCATTAGAGTTTTTACTGTTTTTTTTCAAGTGATTTTGACACGGTAAATCTTGGTGAATCTTGGATTACTTGGACGATTAGTCTTGAAAAGTGATGCTAACTTAATAAATCCACGATTTATTATTAGAATTTGTACTGTTCTTTTTTAAGTGATTCTAACTTGGTAAATCCTGTATAAACTTAAATTTACCAAAGGAAATGGACAAATAACAAGAATAGGGTAAAATTAGAAAATAAAAATTGAAAACATGAACGGTATATTTGTTAGAAAAATGGCATTGAGTGCGCAGCGAAATTTTAAAATTTTAAATTAATGCCAAAGCCAACCAAGAATATAACGTAAATATCAAAGATATAAATCATACCTTTAGAGATTATGGAAACAGCATGTCTGACATATCAAAGCATTCTGAACAGCAATCAAAAGAGCCTCAACCAACTAGTTTTCTTTGCTATTCTCATTTTCATGATCGGAGTACGAGTGGGCACACGTCGTTCAATCTCCCCTTAGTATTCTTGAACTCCTTCTATCCACAAGAGAGCCAAAGGAAAAATTGATCTTGATATTTAATCAAATTTTCCTTTCAGGAACCCTTACTAATAACCCTAAAAAAGTCTCTCAAGACCTAATGAATAATGGGACTTACTAGGCTATTTATAGAGTTTAAGAAGTCATATTCCCGTAACAATTAGGTTTCTCAAAGTCAATCTCACGTACAGAGTCGATTTTGCTACGTCAACAGTTGCTACCGGTCGACCAGTTCTAGTGGTGTTGTAAACCAACCGGTTGACCGATGTGTGACATGAAACAACCCCTAAAATATACATAACAATCAACCGCCCCCTTGACAACGGTCGACTGCCCCATGTTCTGAATTTGCTTGTTTCTTAAGTTATTTAATACGGGAAACTTGCATAGAGGCTCAGTTTTAATTCAAGTAACTCAATATAGAAGTTACCTTATCAAAACAATCATATAATAATCTTCCCATTTTAAATTAAACCCAAAACAATAATTCAACCAATTTATCTAGAATTAATTTAACAATTAATTCACTCGATAAATTACTCATGAATTAAGCACCGATCTCACATTGACTTTTAACTTTTAGCTGAAATAACATAAGTTACCAATATGTTGAAAATACGTCGTATCGTATTAGAAAAGTATATGAGCTAGCAAAGGGACCCGATAGACATATATAGATCAAGCACCTATAATCATGACAGTACTTGTTAACCCACAAGTTCATCACATGATTATAAACTCTAGCGCTACTCCACTAAAAGTCTAGAGCTGCACTCTCGATCCATATGGTATATTAGCAAAGCTCAGAATAGCTCTTGTCCATGACTCATTTTATTAGTGTATCATCCCCATAAGATATCCATAATCGACTTGAGGTCAAGTTCTAGTTTTGTAACACTCATTTTTCTAAACTGACAAAATTCTTAGAAATAAACGTTAGGAATTAACTTGAATAATGTTATGGTGTTATATTTAGTTAATTCAAACATCATGTTGAGTTATTTTCTACAGGTGAATGCGACTAGGACTCGAGGTGCCGAGAACAAATTCATGCTATTTTATAGAAATTATATATAAGTTCATATATTATTTTTTTTTGTTTTGATGTACTTCATGTTATAATGCATGGAATTAACTGTCTTAGGAAAATTCTAAGTTTTCCTTGATTTTTCCTTTTAGACAAAAAAACTATTTTCATGACGTTAATTTTCAGCTTTATTTTGGACCTATAAAATTCAAAAATTATTCCTCTAGTTTATACAAAGTTGTAGAACCTTTTATAAGCTTTCCAATGCCTTTTTATTTGGACAAATTGGAAATTGAAGTAAGAAGATGTCACCAGTATACCATCTGGATACCAAAAAGTCTCCGTCCAGGTTACTGTGCGCGAACAAGAATATAAATTCTATAAATTGACCTAACTTTTTATATTTGTCTTCCACATGATTTTATCCCCCATTCTCCCAGTTGTTAAGGGGTCATTTAATCATAGAATTAATCCCCACTTAATGCCAAATTAATCCCTTTTAATTTTATATGATTTATGAGCCAATAAGTATTTTTGACTCTTGCTTTCTCCCTTCCTCTAACGACATTCTCTCTCTCTTCCACCATCCACAGGGTAAAAAAAACGTCACAAAGAGCCTCCAAGACCAACCATCAAACCTCCATTATTCTATCCATTTTGTAAACTTTTGATTCTTCCAACCCAAAATCAAGAGGATTCTCAAAGTATAGTTCTTTCTTATTGTTTAGTTTTAAATTCTATGAGAGTTTGGATGATTTTACTTTGGGTTTGATTATAATAGTTTGAGAGGATGATAGAGGATATTTATTGGTTGATGATTGAGGGAGGATATATGTGATTTAGGTGATGTTTAATGTCCATGGCTGCAGGTTTTATTTTGGATTGGAATGCATGACCCAGTTATTATTTTGGGTATTTTGGTATCTTCATAATTGGATAAATTCTAGAGAGGCATGCTAGGAATTATGTTATTTTCTTATATTGTTGTTTCTTCTATTTTATAAATTGTAATTTCATAGAAACATGAGTTAGGATGTTGTTTTTGGATTTGAGTTGCAAGATATGTGAATTTCAATGGTCATGTTAATGTTTCTAACATGCTTTGCCACAAGGATTTTTATAGAATTTGTGATTTGAATATTTTAGGAACATATCTTGGGGCTGGTAAAAGTATACATGTGGTTGGAGTTGATTTTATCTTTAATGAATTTATTTTGGTATTTTCAGAATTTACCAGTGCTGGAATTTTCTAACTTATGTGATTTGACTTTAAATCAGTGTTTGAGGGAAAAAGAACTCCATTTGTAGCAAATTAGATACCGTTGAAATTAAACTATGGATATCTATTTTCAATTGGCACCAGTCTTAGGTCATTTTGAGTTCTGTGTGATTTGTTATGAATTTTTAAAGGGGTAAAGGTCAGGCTGCTAATTTTTGTTAAGTTTTGTAATTTTGTATAATTGATGGGTTTTTTGTGTCTTGATATTAATGAATGATGAGAATAGTCTATTAGACATTGTTTTAACGTAATCAATGTGTTTGATGAGTTGTTAATTTTTTTAGTAACTTTATTTATGATTTATGACATGAACAGTTCTAAAGGTGAGCTCCCGAGGATCTCATTCGCCGCGTCATCATTGAGATATTTAAAAAGGTTAAGTAAAGCGTCCATGTAAGTACAATCTCACCTGCAACATGAATTGAATAATTGAAAAGTATATGATTTTGACGTTTATGATGATGTTATGACGCTTTTAATATTTCTCTTATGATGACGTTCTGAAGAAAAATGTATATATGTATTTTTATGTTTTTAAATGGTGTTGTACAGCCTTAATGGTGACCAGTGAGCGAATTTATTGTCACGGTTAGTATGAGATTTGCTATCTTATGCTTTTCGTGACTAGCGCTCTATGACGGTACAACGCGGGGCCCACTATATGATGGATTTTAAAGTTAAAACATGTTCAAAAATATATGTTCTCATGATGACGTTTATTGTTTAATGAATAAAAATGTTCATTTACGTTTGTGAGATTTAAGTGTCTTACTAAGCCTTTGTTTATTTAAGTTAATTCATGCTACAGACAAATTAAAGGGTAAGATGTAGCCATAGAGAATCTTAGAGCGGATGCGAGCTATATATGCGTGATGGGAAAACGGAAGAAACGGTCATGGAATGAAATTGTTTAATTTAAATAAAGTTTTAATTTTAATTTTTATTATTTTGGAACTTTGGCTTATGGTGGTTTTTATTTGAAGAATACTTTAGACTTTTTAAGTTTATTTCACGGTATGGATTTTAATAATTATGTTGAACCTAAACGTTATTTTTCTTTGAGGAAGTTTAAAGTTTTTATTTAGTAATAAAAAAAATCTAGGATTTCTCTAAGTCATTCATTTTGTCATGCAAATTAAAGTATTTCAAGTTTATTTATTTTCCGCATTCTTTAAGATGTAAATGTTTGAAAGTTAAGACAACTGTGACGGTCTGTGAGGGGTCGTTATATTTTTACCTTCCCAATTTTATTTATCTTATATTCCATTATCACTCCACCGGAAAATTCACTATTCATACTAATACAAATAGTAAACTATTAGATAACACAAAGTAGTCTAATGGCCAAGCGCTCGTATTTTTCAAATCATTGACTCTTTATAGGAGCTATAGATTCCATATCTATGAATAATAAATCTACGCACACAAAAATCATACTCTCAGCGTACTAGTAAGCGTACATTTAAATAATGGTAGGATGTCTCCCTTTGGTAGATCAAAGAATA